TCGGTTTGTCCATAAACGATGGGAAGACCAAAGTGTTTTCATGTTGCATCCCCGCCCAAGAGAAGGCACCTCTCGAGATAAGTGGCTGTTAATTTGAAGAAGTAGACAGTTTGAAATATATGGGAGCGAGGCTGCTGCCGAATGGAAGGAGTAAGGATGACATTTTCTCCTGAGTTGACGCAGCTCGACGAGTTTACCTCAGCCTTCGGAAGTGCCTATGGACCCAACGCGATATTTATATCTCCACAAAGTTCCGCGTGTTCCGTCCGTCTGTACGGTCTGTTCTTCTATACGGATACGAATGCTGGGCTACACGCGTGGAAGATGGACGGAAGCTGGAAGTCTTTGACCACGGCTGCTTGAAGACCATCCTTCGAGTGAAGTACACAGACTTCATCTCAAATGAGACAGTCCGCATTCGCTGCGACAACATCGTAAGGATATCCCAGGCAATCCAAGCGGGACGACTGAGGTGGTTTGGACACCTTCTTCGTCGTCAACCTCACAAGCACACTGTTACTGCCCTTGACCCGATATCGTTACCTAACTGGAAACTTCGAAGTGCGGTCAACTTGAAACCCTGCTCGACTCAGTCCACCAGGACATGGACGTAGTTCTTGGACCTTCGGTATTTAGTCTCCGGCGCTGGCGAACAGAAGGGCTCGAACTGTCCAGGTCCGCTGTCACCGATCGTGGCGCGTGGAGAAGCAAGCACCGTACGGAGGCGCCTCTTATATGCGTATGGCTCCGATTATCCTACCATTACCTATGATTAAGGATTTCCGACAGAATCCGAAACGTCAGAAAAATAAAACTCTTGTTCCAGTGGTCGCATCTTCTTCTGAAGTAAAAGTAAGCTGCATGTGTCAGTGCTCCTCAGCAATGACGATTGACGACATACCTTACGTACGTTAAGAACTAATTATGGTTTAGTTTTGGCAGATTTGGTTAATTTGGTTGAGCCAATTGTGAAAAAACTCCCGGCGTTCTGCGGGATTTAAATCTGCATAGCAGGGAAGGCCTTTACGCAGCCAACGCTCTACCACTTGAGCTACAAACGTTACGCCTTGCGCCGTGAATTTGATCACACTTGGATCGATTTAACCCGCTCAACTTTACCGCTAGTATGAAATCCACCAATACGGAACAGCAAAGTGACTGCCCGAGCAGGATTTCCTAAGCAATGATCTAGAATCCACCAGAATGACTAATAGG